CTCCCGGCAACAAGGCGCTCCCGGCCCCGGGGCCCCCGGCGGGCTGGGCCCGTCTGCCCGACCAGCCCCACAGAACCTGCCCCTTGGCAGAAAGCGGGGGGGCTGGAGAGCAGCCCGGTTGGACAGGGAAACAGCCCGTGCCTCGCGGGGGCGACTGATTAACTGTCGCGCAATTAAGGCTTTGCTCGATTGAAAGGAAACGTTTGCAATGCCTCTGTGGTCCTATTGAGACTAATTAATTCCTTCTCAAAATGCAGCGAAGACTAATTGGGCTGTCATACTAATTACCATTAGTCCGGGACGGCTAGTGCGCACAGGCCCTGCTGCAGCGCCTCAGAGCCTGGGCCCGCAGGGACCCACCACAAATAGCACCTGTTCTCCTGTGCTGGGCGGGCTGGTGTGGAGGGAGTAAACCCAAATCTCACGGTGGCAGCTGGGCCAGGAGCTACGTGTGGAATTGGCTGTGAACCACCTTCCCCAAACCCCCAAGACAGAGCTTTGCACTAGGAACACGGGTTTAGATGACGAACCCGTGTGTGTCACTTAGGCCCTGCCCAACTGTTTTTTCAGTGTATTTGATTAAATTTCTAATTTACCTGTTGAAAATAAAGTACTTGTACCTTCATGCTAATCCCACTGCTCCTAACAGACTGTGGATGAACTCTTGCTTACCCGTTTCTCTCATGCTTTTGTTACATCCCCAGTTTCTCCTGCTTCTCTGCTTGCTTCCCCTGACAGGGCAAAACTGGTTTTCTCCAGGAAGCTGCTGGGTGCACTGCACCATCCCCAGCCATCACCTGGTATCTTTGGCACTCCTGAAAAGCTGTGGCACCTCATCTGCCCAGGTTTACTTCTCTGGCTCAGATTACACTGCCTTCTCTCAGGCTTTCATGTGTTTCACCCTGACAAATTGCTTCTTAACAAACCTAGTTCTTCAGGTTACATTTCCCACTTGTTTTTATGGTACTGATTATGCTCTCCATCCCAACATCGTGCACTGCATCTCACAGTACTAAACATTGCTTTCCTGGTAACTCCCTGACCTTAGGGCACAAGGACTTTGTCCTTATCTCACCATCCCCTAAGTCAAATCCACTTTTCCCCACATTATGATTATTATTGTTATTTCTAACCTCATTTTTTCCTCTGGCCACTACTACTGTGTTGCCTTGTCTCCTGTATCCATACTATTTCAGCCATACCTCTTTGATGTCCACAATACCTGCTGCAGTGCACACAGAAGTTTCTTGTCTTCACAAACAAGTCTCCATGATTCTGTCCTAACTACTCTTCATCTGCTGCTACTCCTGTCACTGAGTGCAACTGCTACCATCTTTAGCACGTACTTAATTTGCTTTTTAATAATTATCATCTTCTTCAGTGTCATTTTAGGTCTGTACAACACTTCTCTAAACTTCCGTTGACTGTGAAGCCTGTAAACACCTTTTATCTTCTCCATGTCTAAATACTACTGTCACACCTTTAATTGAATGATCTGAACAGCAGCAGAACAGTTGGGTGCAAGCAGTAAGGAAGTGGTTAAAATTCCCCTTCATTTTAACAACTAACACCTTAACAAAAACTCCTCAGTGAAAGGAATACTGCCAGCACATTGTTATCATCCATGGAACAGCAACATTTTGAAGCCCCTGCCAGTGTATAGGAAAACAGGACATTTTTTTTTCCATTTTCTTGTATCTTCCAACTTTAGTAACTAAAAAAGTACAGAAACTGCTGCAGTTCCTATTTCTAAACAATTTTTAAACAAATCTGGTTTTAAAAGTCAGTCCCTGAAAGCTCTCCCAGAACAGCCTCCCATGGAGAAAAAAAGTAGGTGACAGTTGGTTTTGCTCAGGAAAAATTCCCCTCAGAGCCCTGTGCAGGTATTGAGGAGGTGTGGCAGGAGTGCTGCTGCTGTCCCTGCCTCAGGAGGAAAACCTCTCCTTGTTTCCAGCGGGCAGCCCGTTCCTGCAGGCTGCTCCAGTTCACCAGCCACCTGGTGCTTGGTCAAACACTTTAACAGGCTCACAGTGAGTGACTTGCACCCAGGACGGCACAGCCAGGTACCAGAGGGCAAATCTCATTCGAACAGGCTATTTCCTAAGGCTCTCCCTGCATTTTTTACATTGTGCTTTTCTTTGCCATCACTTGAGTTTTGATGCTTTGTTTTATACGACAGAGCTATACTCTGTGTATCCTCCCCTTCTCAGGAGATAAAATAATTCTGTTGCTTTTAATTAAGTACTAAAACTTCTGCCAATTCTTCATGATTTAACACATCCAGTACCATTAGCATGTAATTAGCCTAGGTCAACATATCCTTGAAAGAGAAAATTTGAGTCTTAAATGCAAGAATTTTTGCTTTCAAATCATACCTCCCTGCTTTAACTAACTAATAGCACAAAAATATGCGTACAAATAATAACTGAATACCTTACAACTTTCTGTCTCACAGCATTTCCAAAACACTTAGAAGAGGTGTATGTATCTGCTCATTTTTCTGCTCTAGATCCCACATGATTAATGGTGAAGAATATGAATAATGAAAAGATGTGGTTCTCGGAATAAGGTTCATAGTTTGGGTTTAAAACTGAGCACTGCAAAAGTTCAATCTCACTGAGGGCAAAATTATACTGTAAAAATAATCTCATGAAATTTTGTGAGATGGATACAAAGACCATAGATGTCGTGCAGCTCATGATGTTATTTGTAGAAAATAACAGTAGTTATAATAACAGTAACTCACTCTTTGCATCCTCATTCTAAAATGAAATCAGGGCATTTGAATCTGAACAATCCTTCTACTCAGAAAATATAAAAAGGAAATATAAAATTCAGATTAATTCTGAGTTCAGGATGAGCTAAGAGGCAGATCACAATATATAAAAATTTCTTACTAAAAATCAGGTTTTTAAAATGTTACAAATTAGTTTTCTATGTCTTGCAACTAAATTTCTCTAACAAAGAGAATTATCAAATAGCTACACAATGTTACACCTCCAGGTAAAGGGCAGTGAGGCCTGGACAGCAGAGTCATAGAATCAGCATGTGTTGGGGTGGAAGGGCTGCAGCTTTTGTCTCCCCTTGAGCTTGAGAACTGTAAAAAAAAAGTTGTCTTTGCAAGACACCAGTATTTCAGGACGTTTTGTACTTTGTGTGACCTTTCCCTGATCCACCAGGATCCCCATCTGCTGCAGGAACAGTTATTGACTTCAGCTCAGCAAGATACTGCTCTGGGACTAGGTTTGACCACAGATGTCTCAGGTCACCTGTCATTCCTTTTCGGGGCAATATAGGTTTTCAAACTGGAACTAAACATGAAAAGAGAAACCAAATCTGGTAGAAATAAAATGTCTTTAATCTGTGTAAAGTATTATTTTTTGAAGTAAAACTGAACACAGGATGTTTCATTCCATGTCACATTTCTGCTGCTAAGGCCTGTGCAGTGTGTGGCTAGTGTAGCTTCTCTGTTCCACTTCGGGGCAACATTTGTGTTGACTGGCACTCTGTGAATGTCTAGAAATAACCTACACTACAGCACTTAAATATGGTCAGTCATTGGCTTTTCTTCTAAGATGCATTCAATTAATTATAGATCTTGAACAGGATTCAAAACTGATCTTAGCAAGACTTCATACGATGTTCACCAGAGGCTCTTCAGAGCCAAGGTCTGTCTGTATGGCACTCATGGCCTTGCCTGGTTTTGTGTGGGCCCAAGTGACATCCTGCTAAAGCTGTGTGAATTGCTGTATGTCATTGTGGGAAACCAATGTATGAGAAGGAATATGGCCATAGAAAGATGGCAATTGCTGTTCTTTTTCACTGTTTACAGAAAGTGCATTCATGTTGCAAATTGTGCAAATGGACATAGAGACACCCAACATGCTCCAACATTAGGCAGCCCAGCACACACATAGTATTTGTTTCTCTAATAACTGAATTCTGAAAATCGTAATTCTTAAGAAACAGAAAGACGAATTGTCACCTGGAGCTACATGGTCTCAAGCATGTGACAGATCTTAGCTCTGAACGGTGCAGGGGCACACAGGGAAAAAAGTTCCATCCCACAAAGCTCAGCTTCACAACTCTAAACTGTCCAACTGGCCCTTTCTCTGGCA